CCAGATCTCTTAAATCATTAACAGGAATTTACTAAACCTGTATCAGTCCTTGAGAACTTTTATGACATTTTGAGTACTTGTTTACTACTATGTCTGCCCATGTTTGCTGATGGCAACCATTCAAGTTTTTCTGAGCACAGGTAGTTTTTCTAGTGGTGATGCAGAAGAGCTGTAGCAGGAAACAAAGTCACCTCAACTCAGTCTGTCTCTTTGCTTGCAGTGTAATGGTACATGAAAAAGAGATGTTGGAAAGATTCAACATATACACAAAGGACTTAAATCCTTTCAACAATGCTTAGTACAGATAAAAATGTATCAGATAACACTATGCTATTGGAGAATGCTATTCCAAAATACTGTGTGTAGGCAAGCACAGGAAAGAGATTTTATTTTGGTTGTGTGGCTTCTGATATATCCCTTAGGTAAAATGCCTCAATAAAAGGTTTGCAAGGTTCTTTGATAATTTATTTCTTTGCTATGGATATTTTGCTATCCTTCTATTACTAGTATGTCCCTTCTGGTGGGGGATGAGTATGTAGTCAGGGGCTGTATAATGCTATATTTTATATTGTGTCTTTCATGTAAGGATCAGCAAAAACAGACCTAATTGTTGGATCAGTTTTGTGCTTAGAGTCTGCAGCTCAGGTAATTGAAAGTTGTCATTAGTTAAAGCTGGGAGAAGGTATTAAAGTTAACTAGAATCTGTTTTATGATATAAACACCTCAGATTATTGGGAGATTAAATTACCTGCACAGTTCAGAACTCAAGATGATAATCTTTGCTTATCAAAATTGCGTCATTTGCTGAATTACATTTAGGTGTTGAGCCTTTCCCTATGGTCATAGGGAGGAGTCTTGGGTGGATACAGAAATTCAGCCACTAATCAGATTTTCACTTAAGAGGTCTCCATTTAACAGTAGAGGGGGGAAAAAAAGACAGTTGAGAAGATTTGACACAAATGAGGTTGAATTGGCTTTATTTCCAGTTTCACTTGGAGAATATAATTTTAAGGCTGTACTCAAATAGATAAAATAGTTTAGCAAGTTTAAAAATGTACAAGTTAAAAGAGTCCTAGATAGTATTTCTGATTCTGTACCCTACAGAGATACTTGTAAAGGTTTAAGAGTGCTTGGGTTAGTAATCAAATGAGCAGTATTTAATAGAATAGAATTAATGAGGAAGAATAAATCATTCTCTTAGGGCTTTGCTCAACCAACTAGAATTGTTTTAGTTTGTACAGGATTCAGTGTCAGCTAATTTACTCTCCATAGCTTTCATCTCATTGGGTGGGGTAAATCACACACTAAGGCAAGAAGAAAATGACCGAGTTCTAAGACTGCTAGTCACATGTTAACACTGACACCTGACTGTCTCTTAGACATGTCAAATACTCAGGGGGGGGTCACTGAAACTATAGTATGAGGACTTTATCCTTTCATAGGAAATACTCTGGCCACCTGAAGCTTGTGCTTTTTAAACTGTGAATGCTTTGACAGTGTATTTTTTTTTTTTTTTTTTGGTACCAGGGATTGAACTCGGGTCCTTGCACCTGTGAGGCAGGTGGTGGCACCACTGAGCTAAATCCCTGGCCCTGATAGTGTATTTTAGGTAATTAAGTGAAAGAGAAGAAATTCTGGTTTTAAAATTGGCACTAGGAGCTTAAAGACATACCATAGATGTCTGAATATGAAGCAGCTCTGTATATAGGATGGTCTTCCTTTTTTTGTCAAAAATTAAAAATTACTGAGAAAGTTTTTTTTGGTTAATACAAATACTGAAAGCCTGTTATGTACAGGGAATTATTCTTAGCTTAGGAATGCAATAGGTAACAATAGAAGAAAAAAGGGACAGAAATCACCATCCACTTAAAACATATATTTTAAATTTTTCATTACTGAGGATTGGACCCAGGGGCACTCTTCCACTAAAGTACATGTCCAACCCTTTTTATTTTTTATTTTGAAACCGTGTACGTGAGTTGCCAAGGTGGGATTCAAACTCGTGATTGTTTTGTCTCAACTTCCCTCAGTGCTGGGATTACAGACATATCAGTGTGCCTGGCATATATATTTTACTTTTCATAATAAATAAGCTATACAGAATGTTAAAGGTGTAAGTGCTATGGGGAACCAAAGAGCAGGGAAAAATCCAGAGGAAGGGTGGCCGTGTGTGTAAGCATGTACATTGGTCTGGGAGACACCTGGGGCCGCTGGCTCATAAGATGACATGGGTTTAGATAAGTTGAAGGAGTGAGCCTGGTGGGTAGCTAGCTGGAGGCTAGAGACCTTCAAGTAGGGTAAAGGACTAGCAAGGAGACAGGGTTGCTGGAGTGGAGTGCGCAGGAAAGGAATGTAGAAGGAGTATAGGTCAGAGGAGATGAGGTGAGGATGAAAAGATCAAAGTCCAGGTTGACCATATAAAGTCACAGGGAAGATATGTAACCACAGTGCAGATTTAATCTCTATGTATATCATCTGTGGTTGACAAGATCTTGTCTTTTACTCTTCATCAAATAGATATTGGAGGGAGCTACTGTGAGTAATGTGTGTGAGGGTGTTTTTCTATAAGGGTCTCTGGCAGTGACTGACATGAGATAGAGTCAAGGTGAAAGGTATCCAATTTTTATTTAGTAATTTTTATGTGTACATGGGCTCTCTCACAAGAAAAACAAAGGTCCAAAGAAGCAGAAAGAGTAGTAAATTAGGAAAACATGACAAGACCAAGGTTTTGGACTAAGGCAGATAATTGTAGAAAAGTGACTAAGAAAGTAGGACTACTTTAACATAGTTGGTTTGTTAGGTTTCTCTTGGCCTTGAGTCCCATGTTGGCGATAAGAATGACTTTCTTGTGGTTCTGGGAGGACATCTTTCACTCTGGAGTTGTCTTTTGCTTTCAGGAAGCAAAGGAAGGTCAGAATGCCTGTCTTGCATCTACTGTTAGTACCTTTAACTCAAAATAATCAGTACATCAGAGTGATATACTTTAGGGTGGTGTTTTTTTGTTCCTTAAATGCCAGTTTATGAAGGATCATTTTGGCTTTTAAGAGTAGATTGAAGGGGGTGGAAAACTAGTTAAAAGGGTATTGGAGTAAACCAGGGGAAAGATAAGTGGTATCCCATTGTATGTGTCAACCATATTTTCTTTCCTGTTCAGTTGATGGGCATTTGGATTCTTTCCAGTGTTTTGGCATTGTGATCAAAGCTGCTGTGATATTTTGCATATAAGCTCTTCTGTGGATATGTTTTCTAGTCTTTTGGCTGGTTCATGAGGGAGGTCTGTCATGGGATCCTGTCCTAGGAGGCCCCCTAAAGAGTAGGTGATGACCTTGGTTCAGTCTGTTGAAAGGTTCCTGATGCACATCACCGATAAAGAACTTCAGGACGAGTCAGTGTGAGGCATAGGGAGGTTTATTAGGCAGATTAGGAAGTAAGAGAGAATAGGAAAAAAGACTGCAGTTAGAGTGACTGGAGGGGGCTCACTCTGATGAGTTCAGATGTCTGCTCACAAAAACAGAATGTCAGCTTTTATGGATTAGCTGAGGTAAACCAGGGTGTGCACAGGTATCTCAGTGCTGGTTTCGAAGCTCCAGAGAATGCTTATCCCTGGAGGGGCAGTTGGGTTCTCCTGAGACAGTTGTCCTTGCTCAGAGAGTGGTCTCATCCTGAGGCGGTCTCTGAGGTTCTGCCTTTCCTGTAGCCTAGGTGATCACAGGTTTAGGATTGTGACTGCTTACTTCTAGGCCATGCTATAAACGTTGGCAATCAGATGTCGCTGTAAGCCTGCAAAGTACTGTAGTTACTTTCATCTTGGCAACTCCAATCTTGAAGGGGGATTACATAGATTATGTAACTTTAGGTTTAATAAAACCTCGTTTTGCCAGTTTTTCCTAAACTAACAATTCCTTGATAAGGAAGATAAAAATTGAGCTTCCTTGGTTCCTTTTATCTATCTTTATTTCTTTTATCCTTCTTTAGGTCTATGGTTAAGGTTTAAGAAGCTGCTTTCTACTGTGCTGAGTCATTTACTTTTCTGGACCCACCTATGAGAGTTCTGGTTGTCCCGCCTTCTTGCTGGCCTGTGGTCTTTTTGATGTCAGTCATTCTAGCATCTGTGTAGTGTTATCTGGTTGCATGGTTTCAGTCTGTATTTTCTATTTTGCTAATCCAGATGATAGCGTTCCAGTTTTAACCTCTTTATCTAAAAAGTTAATTTTATCTTTATTGTTGGAAATTTGGTTTCCTTCAGATGAGGCTCGTAAAACCTTTCAAAAATAATTAAAAGATGTATTCTTTTTTTTCCCCATTAAGTTTATTGGTACATTTTAGGTATAAAATACAGTTACATTCATCATCGGGATCCTGTACCATTACATGAGTATCTTGGTTCTTATTTTTTTCCCCTTCCCCAGCCCTCCCTTCACCTCCTCCACCCTTCCCTATTTGCAAAGATTTTGTTTCCATTTTTTTCCTTTTCTCATATTTTTTCTTTTCCCTTTTTTCCTTTCCCCTATCCCACTTCCCCTGCTCCTTTAGACCTTTTCTTCCTATTACACAATATCAATTATAGATTTTTAAAAATTACAATATCAAGATCTAGGAGACATTACCACAGATTTTACAGAATTTAAAAGGCTATAGAAAGCATATTACAAAAATCTTTTTTGAAATAAATTTGACAACTTCTTAAAAGAATAAAAGTTGGCAGTGACCTATATAGTTTCATGGTTTTTTGTGAAACTAATACATTCACAATTTGAAAGTATAATACATCTATTAAATTTCAATTTTAATAATTTTTGTTACATTGCAGTTTTACCTTAAAGTCATTATGTCACATGGTGTAATTTAAATTTACACTCTATCTTGTGTAGGGTTTACTCCTTCCAGTGTTCTGTGATTTAGAATGAAAATCCATTCCATGTGCTAATAATAGGTCTCGATACACAAAAATTATCTCAAAATGTTCCAATAAAACAGGATTTTCAAATTTTTTTCCCCAGGTTCCTGATGTAATCAGCAGCATAAGGCAGTTATCCAAAGCCGCCATGAAAGAGGATGCCAAACCCAGCAAAGACAATGAGGACGCCTTTTACAACTCTCAGAAGTTCGAAGTCTTGTACTGCGGAAAGGTGACAGTGGCCCACAAGGTGGCCCAGTCCAGCCTCATCGATGACTGCATCGAGAAGTTCAGCCTGCACGAACAGCAGCGCTTGCGGCTCCAGGGCGAGCGGGCCGCGGACCCTGGCGAGGAGCTGGTCCTGGAGGGTGAGGCTCTGGGGTCCCCCCGGGACAGCCTGCCCGAGGAGGAGGAGGAGGAGGAGGCGGAGAACAGCCACCCTGCCTTGCCAGCCCTGGCCAGCCAGCCCGTGCCATCCAGCGCCCGGGTTTGCTTCCCTGAGCGGATTTTGGAAGATTGTGGGTTTGATGAGCAGCAGGAGTTCCGGTCCCGGTGCAGTAGTGTCACCGGGGTCCTTCAAAGGAAAGTTCACGAGAACGGCCAGAAGCCACAGCCGCGACGCAGACACGCGAGTGCCCCTAGTCACGTGCAGCCCTCGGATTCCGAGAAGAACAGAACGATGCTCTTCCAGGTGCGGGTGGGGCTCCAGGCCTGCTCCCTGCAAACCTCAAACCGCGGGACCAGAGCAAACGGGAGG